TATCACTGTTAACTCGATGTCTGGATATGGTTGTATGTCTGACTAGATATTTAGGGTTTGATATCACTGTTAACTCGATGTCTGGATATGGTTGTATGTCTAGATATCTAGGGTTTGATATCACTGTTAACTCGATGTCTGGATATGGTTGTATGTCTGACTAGATATCTAGGGTTTGATATCACTGTTAACTCGATGTCTGGATATGGTTGTATGTCTGACTAGATATCTAGGGTTTGATATCACTGTTGACGCGATGTCTGGATATGGTTGTATGTCTAGATATCTAGGGTTTGATATCACTGTTAACTCGATGTCTGGATATGGTTGTATGTCTGACTAGATATCTAGGGTTTGATATCACTGTTAACTCGATGTCTGGATATGGTTGTATGTCTGACTAGATATCTAGGGTTTGATATCACTGTTGACGCGATGTCTGGATATGGTTGTATGTCTGACTAGATATCTAGGGTTTGATATCACTGTTGACGCGATGCCTGGATATTGTTGTATGTCTAGATATCTAGTGTTTGATATCACTGTTAACTCGATGTCTGGATATGGTTGTATGTCTAGATATCTAAGGTTTGATATCACTGTTAACTCGATGTCTGGATATGGTTGTATGTCTAGATATCTAGGGTTTGATATCACTGTTAACTCGATGTCTGGATATGGTTGTATGTCTAGATATCTAGGGTTTGATATCACTGTTAACTCGATGTCTAGATATGGGTGTATGTCTAGATATCTAGGGTTTGATATCACTGTTAACTCGATGTTTGGGATATGGTTGTATGTCTAGATATCTAGGGTTTGATATCACTGTTAACTCGATGTCTAGATATGGTTGTATGTCTAGATATCTAGGGTTTTATATCACTGTTAACTCGATGTATAGATATGGTTGTATGTCTGACTAGATATCTAGGGTTTGATATCACTGTTAACTCGATGTCTGGGTATTGTTGTATGTCTGACTAGATATCTAAGATTTGATATCACTGTTAACTCGATGTCTGGACATGGTTTTCTGTCTAGATATCTAGGGTTTGATATCACTGTTAACTCGATGTCTGGATATGGTTGTATGTTTAGATATCTAGGGTTTGATATCACTGTTAACTCGATGTCTGGATATGGTTGTATGTCTAGATATCTAGGGTTTGATATCACTGTTAACTCGATGTCTAGATATGGCTGTATGTCTAGATATCTAGGGTTTGATATCACTGTTAACTCGATGTCTGGATATGGTTGTATGTCTGACTAGATATCTAGAGTTTGATATCACTGTTAACTCGATGTCTGGATATGGTTGTATGTCTAGATATCTAGGGTTTGATATCACTGTTAACTCGCTGTTTGGGATATTGTTGTATGTCTAGATATCTAGGGTTTGATATCAAATGTTAACTCGATGTTTGGGATATGGTTGTATGTCTGACTAGATATCTTGGGTCTGATATCACTGTTAACTCTGTAATTACCGGTCTGGGATGTAGTGTTGTCAACTATTGATCTAGAATACCTTGTAATTACCGATCTGGGATGCAGTGTTGTCAATCATTGATATCTAGAATACCTTGTAATTAGCGATCTGGGATGTAGTGTTGTCAATCATTGATCTAGAATACCTTGTAATTACATATCTGGGATGTAGTGTTGTCAATCATTGATCTAGAATACATTGTAATTACATATCTGGGATGTAGTGTTGTCAATCATTGATATCTAGAATACCTTGTAATTAGCGATCTGGGATGTAGTGTTGTCAATCATTGATCTAGAATACCTTGTAATTAGCGATCTGGTATGCAGTGTTGTCAATCATTGATCTAGAATACCTTGTAGTTAGCGATCAGGGATGTAGTGTTGTCAGTCTTACTATTGTTTGATATGGATATTTACAAGAGATAATTAGTAAACCGTTACAGTTCGATCTTGGCCAGGTAAGATGTTAACATTTGAGGACAGTTGTGTTCTATGTATTTTTATTATAATCGTTTTAATTCTTGTGTAATTCTCTAAAACTCCTCCATGTTATTATATTAATGGACCTTCCTCTGTCCTGAAACAAAGCTTTTTAACGACCATTTTAAGTTTTACGTAGAGTTATCATTTCCTTTTGTTTGAAAACAGGATACACAGCAATCGTCACTTTTGTTGCAGTTATATGTAAAGGGAGGTAATACAGAGAAGGATAGCCGAAATTCACCACAAAAAGTGACAATTAAGGAAAGACCAGTACTGGAGAGTGGCGGGAGGGGATATATAGGCTCATGTTTATTGTCACCAGACACTTATACACTGTCCTGTTTGCTGCCTAGTTTCTTTTAATGAAAAGTAAATCTAATATTACTGTAAAGGTATCATCCACTCCCGTAGTAGATCATCAAGGGTGCCAATTTGATAAACAGGTTACCAGTTGTTGATGTGAAAACTGACTGTTCCTGGTTTCAAATTAAACTATTTTCTCGAAAGGAAATATGGTTTGTATACTCTAAATGGTTAAAATGTGGCAATGAAACTACAGCTTCACGGCAGCGATGTTTGGTCGGTTTGGTGGTTGGTTACAAGTTTAGATCTTCACCCACCCACAAACGTCAGTGCATGGGACATAACTCATTCAGTCTCAGAGATTTTGTTGCAAGAGCAACTGGAGTTGCTTCCCTTATTTTATCAATCACCGCAGATCTCTCGGGGAAAACCTGTTCTTTTTATATCGTTGACGCAACAAAGGGTAAGATAACGGACGTGGCTGTAATAAGGGAAATTATTGAATGAGTTCATTTAAATACATAGTGACCAGTATAATCAGGTAGACAAATCATAATTCATTCATAATTACTGTGCAAATATGATATAATTAACAAGCCTTTGCTTTAATAATCAGTTAAGGTCATATAATTGACAGAAAGATGACAAAAAATTTATGAATGAAATCACATTATGAAATAATGAAATTAGACAACAGAAATATGTATTAGAAACGTAATGTAACCTGTCAGTGCATATTCTATGCGCTGGTCGGATGTAGTGACAGAAATCATGCAATATCTCACATTTCGTTATTACGACAAGAGATTATCTGGATTTTTCGATTGATCTGTCTTCTCCGGTTTTGTGTGCATGTTGAGAAGGGGCGGGGTGTCTACATAAGCGTTAAGGTAGGCGCCGTGTCGGAAGACAAACGGACGAGTAATAGATATATAACCTCATTGTAATCGTGTCGAGGATAGTCACGTGATTGACACAGGAAACATATTGTAATTAGAATGTCTAGAAGTCTATCTCTCAAGCAGCCAGTCCGTCTAATGGTGTTGTGTTAACGATAAGCTTAACATCGACCTGAACTTTGTCGGAGACAGGTTGACATTGGAGTCCCATCGCTTTATCCGTTTCCGTGTGTTATATACACAACCGTCTACACTTATTTATTCTTAATCTGATTGTGAAAACAGGTGTCCGGATAGACTTATGCACATATATACATTCTCTGATCTACAGGAATTCATTGATCAGTTTTATGTAAATCTTCATTACCCAGTTGTCGCTCTTGATATGGTTAGAACTCTTTTAAAACGTACATCAATCAAAATTAACTGGAATTCTTTTTTTTAAAATATGATTTTAAATAGTAATGATTTGTATCAATCAGAAATATCTCTGAGAAATATCACGTCCGGAATTAAGTGGAACCCGTTAACTACGGTGGGAGTCAGGGCCCAACTATTCGTCCACATCTGTTTTGTTTTAGAGAGAAAATGCACCCTCAGTGGTATGATACATGTGGTAACTAAATAGATTTGATCCTTCGTGACCTCTGTTGGTATGCGACCCTCTTAAAAACAAGATAACATGTTAGACTACGAGGGAAATTTTATTACATAACTATGTAGAAACTAGTGGAGAAAGGTCCTGTATTCTCAGAGATGTCTCTAAATATATCACATTTAACATCAGTGCCATGAGCACATAATTACAACTTGTTAAGAATACATGGAATAAATACACCTGAAATAATAGAGAAGCAGAGCCCCACGCTTACTCGTGTAGATTTACTGAAATCAGCGGCGGAGATAACACACGGTATCTCAACGAAATGTATTGTTTTGAAACTCAATACAAAACAATGGAGGTACAGAAGTAGGTCTGTTTCACATATAGAGTTCTCCTTTGCCTTTACAGGGTCAGTCTCGTTAACATTTAGACTTACATATCACATATTATACGTCTCAGATAATATGTTTCATTAACCAAATACATTACAATCCCCTAGTTATGTATCTATACTACTTTCAATCTTTTAAATTGGTATTAAAACAAATCCTGTAGACTCACTAACCTTGACATTGGGAATGATGCACTATTCTTATGTATTTTCTAACCATCCAACAAGTAATGTTTATCATATTTCTACAGAAAATGTATGCCGCTTTAACAATATAAACAAATACATTCTTCTCGACATACAAACGTGACGGATATTCAAATTTCTCGTTGTCGGGGCCTGTGGTTGGTTGGCGAGGTCAGATATTACAAAGGCTCTAGGAATTTCTACCTATTCAGGTGGGTACAGCGATCAGCGTGTGAACGAAACTGGCCCCATGTGTAACAGGTTGTTTAGCTAGCTGGTATGAATGAACAGTCTAGGGTCATGACCCCGAAAATATCAATCAGCAGATTTTGAAACCAACGAAAAATTTCTCAAAATATCTAAGTATTTAGCGTTTGCTTATAATAAGTTCTGCGCTGATATCATATTTTTAACAATTATTGTATGATATTTTGTTCAAAACACGTTGTAATTCAAAAACATAAAACGCAACCACGATCTATGGGCGGACTCGTCGAGCCACGAAGTAGGGATTTGATTGGCTGGATTGTTATCAATGGGCGTGTCAATAATTGTCTGACAGTTTCGTTCATTGAAGTTCGCAGATCACAGCGACAGCGTGTAAACCATTCATTCGCCTGGCGTGGGAATACATGTGCTAAGAGTTTACTCTGCTGTTCATTTGTGTAATCTGTTACATTTTCCTCCACTTTCCAGCGGATTTATATTTACTTCAGTTTCTTAAGGTAAGTACACGGTTCTGACCAAGTGTCGATATCAACTTTCAACAATGAGTCCGGATCCTTGTTGACTTACTATTCAAGTGTTTTTTTTTAAATACCCATCGTGCCAGTGTGCCACTAGTTAAGCATTTTGCTGACGGTTGAAACGATTTCATCTAGTTTGTTATCATTTAACAGAAATCATGAAATTATATCTGATAGTTTCAACTTGTTTTTTGGTGATTTATTTCAATAGTTTATATCAAACCAAGTACGATAGCCATTGACCTGGATCTTTGTCTAAAAGTTGCCGTGACGCAACGCATCTATAAAAAAAACCTTGCCAGTCCTTTAAAAGGAATTTCCTGTCCCCAGGTAAAATGTGACAGGTACTGAAACTGCTCATATGCAAATTTTTGGAGAAAATATTTGAAAACACTTAAAATCATTGCCTTTGAGCGTTACTGAAGTAATTTGTAATTAAAAATAAAATCAAACTGCTAGCTGCGTATCCTGTTGTAATGTTCGAGATAAGGCCGTGCTTTATAGGTGCGAAAAGATAACTTCGACGGAAACATATTTTCAGTATTGTAAAGTTTTATCGTAGATTGAAATTCCAGCGTTTGATTATTAAATTGAGTTTGTAATTAATTCCTGTGTTTATTTCAGATTCACCATGGCTGTCGAGATGCTAATCATGTGTGGATTATTTAGCTTAGTTCTGGGAACACAGCAGCAGATTCCCACGTGCAAATCTTCACAGTACTTGGAAAAGAATTTGAATGTGTGTAGACCCTGCACACAATGTCCAGTTAACGAAGTGATCCGTCGACCTTGCGACAAAACTCGGGATACAGTGTGTGGACCCTTCATCGAATTCGATGAGTTCCATCAAGCGCCGTTCATCAACCTGCTTCCAAGCAAGAACAACATCTCCCAGGAAGTGTTTGTGACCAATGAATTAAACATTGATGTTAACACGCCGAATAACGATCCGTCAGACGTCCGAGGACAGGCACCGATTACTATGAAGAATGGTAAATGGTACACATTGGCTATGGCACTGCTCGGAGTTCTGTCCTTCGTCTCCCTCTTCGTCATCGTCTACATCATCCTCGTCTGTTTCGTCTGCAAGAAACGCCGAGAGGAAAAAGAAATCATTTATGATCCCGGTAAGTATTGCTAACTCTATTATTTACATGTGTATCAGTTTTTTTATTGTTCATATGTAGATTCTACACCTTTTCATTCAAAGCACACAACCGGCTAAATTAATATTACTTCACATTACAGTGACTTTTTATCAATTAGAAGTTTCAAATGACCTCTCTACGTTGTGAATAGATACCCATGCTTAACTTGTCTTGGTCTTCTAAATGGTACCATGACTAAAAACCTACGATCATCCCTCCATCTGTTTTTTGGAAATGTTACCCATTCACAGAAAGTCATTAACTGGGAACTACAGAGCCAAAGAATGAAAGTCTAAATGTAAATTTGGTGTTTTTGTCCCCAGTCTCGTAGATTTTTTTTTTAATCACTCACACTGTCTCGGGCTGTCGATAAGTATACATTCGAGACTGTCTACGCAGGATTCTGCATTGGTTCACGCAGTTCTTTGAAAAGTAATCCAGTATCATAATTAGTAAATACCTTGCACTGCTATTTCGTGTAAGTCCATAATGTTGCTTAATTTCTAGAAATAATTTTCTCAGTGTCCTGGATTAATATTTAACGTATTAATCTTGAACACGTGCACGGTTACATTTTTTTTATCAAAACGTGCATATTTAAATTGAAATATGATCCAAATAAAATTTTACTTTTAATAAAGTACGAGTATCTTTTAAGCTTTTCATCTACATGGATAAACTTCAACACCAATTTTTAATCAAGTATGTGGGTGTATTTTGAAGACCACGTGCTTCTGGTAATTTGGTCGTAAGCATGTAGGTGTAGCGGGCAGATTTTCATAAACCACAGTCAACTGTGACCCTCTGGAATGTTTCGAATCTCCCTCCGTTATTACACACCCTGAAATTCTATCGGCGACAAATTTGGACTAACGTGTTCACATTATCTTTGCTCAGTGAATTCGCGGGATTTTATCCATGTCTTTCATTTCATTGTCATTCGGTTGAATAGTTTCGCTGTCCGAAAACGTCGGCCCCTTTTTTAACAGCAAGAGAAATCAGATTATAAGCAAAATCTTCTTTACATCCGCTGTAATTGATTTCATGGTATTGGACGGAGTTCTTTGTGACTTTTGACGTCTGGCAGAATTATTTCACATTGAATCAAAACTGTTTAAATTGCACACAAATCTGATCACAGACTTGGTTCAACAAGGACACATTATTTTCTTAAAACGAATAAAATGAAATTAATTCTATATAGATTTATGAAAAGTACGAGACGGGTCAGATTTGTAATAAGAGATATCGAAAATGGATTGCATTTGTGTCAAATTTGAAATATTCAGATTATTCATACAATTTATTTCACGGAAATCCAGGCAGTTCCTAGACACTTGACTTGCCTTGGCCTTTTATTTTACTGCGAGGTGAACTTGCCATGAGAATTAGGGATCGTCCCCTATTGTAATGCCAGCCGAGCAGAACTGCCAGAAAGTAACACCGCCATGGTTCACTCTCGATCACTTCCCGAACAGAGAACATTATAACCCCGGCTAAAATTCGGGGAGGCAAGATTAACAATAGAAATATCTGATGCTCGGTGGATGAAAGGGAGGTATTTTAAAAAGGACAGGAAATGCGATTTTATTACAAAAGGAAACATGCATTGGTGATAAAAATCCTGTAAGATTGTAATGTGCAGTTTTGAAATTGGAATCGTATTTTAAAACGAGAATCGTAATTCATTCGCCTTTTATAAAATTTGATGACGCGGCTCATCATTAAAATAAATGATGCGAAGATGTTAGATTTATGGCTAAATTTGATCAGTATATCAACCCAGCCGTGAATTACAACAGCATTTAAAATGACAAATTTACAATTGGAGCTCCGTTGTGACTATATATATGGATTTAATAATAATAGTAAAAAAAACTTGCGATGGTTTCTTACATCTAATAATAGTTCGTGTAGTAATAAAAAAAAAGACAATTAAAACTTCCGGTAATCAACATCGTTTCTATTGTCTGATGTCGGATTTCATTGTGACCTTAGTCGACAGCCCTGTCACCGCCAGACAGGACATGAACATTCATCATAGTTTCACAGCTACAACAGATGTAAATTTCCTCACAAATGTCGCTATTGAAACGGCCACTGACAAGTTGCCTTACTATATATAGACATAATGCTAATGACACGTGATGTGGTCACGTGTGAAAACTCGTAAACATAACTACTGTCAACGTGGTGTCATAGAAGTTTCCCCCCTAAAATAGTGTCATTTGAAATGAGAAAAACCCTTGATATAAATTTGTTGTAAGTGTGACTATTTCAATCAAAAATCTTTGATCAACAATTATTACATTTATTTATTTTCAGAAATGTGCAGTCCGGCGCCGTCCCCGATGCAGACGTATTATCCCCCACGCAGTAAGAAGGCGACGTCAGCCGACGTGGAGGAGAGCGACGACAGTGCGAGTGGCGGTCGTATGGTTGTGTTACCAAACATCTACATACCGTTTGCTAGCCAGGATTGTGACTACGACGCAGATAACAGCGGACAAACTGTATCATCCGGATCTACAAACTACGTCTATTTTAAGGCACCAACTTCGTCGTAGTGGGGGAATTAAGACTGCTTCATTTGACGTTAATATTTGTTAACTCGAGAAAAAAATCTTCCGTACAGGACCATCCAAACTTGTACCGGTATGCAAAGCTCAAATTGATATAAAAACTTTTGATATGTGACGATTTTATGGAAGTGTATAATTATTTGGTGCTACTATGGAAATAAGCTTGTTCAGAAAATGTTGCCATGATCAGATGAATGACTGGGGGTGTGCCAGCTACGGACATCTTGTGGTCACTTCGTAAAAGGAAAGAACGCCTTCTTCAAAATGACCACAGTTCTTCGATACCTGACCAAGGGCAATTCTTCCAGCAATGAACACCCACTACAAACCCCGGAGAAAGAACGCTCAGCGATTCCCGGTCATTCGTGAAGGAGATGTACTTTTGATATGCAAGGTAATTTGTTTTATAACACAACACTCTTTCGTAATGGAGATAAAATTGAAAATGGTATTATATTTCCAACTCTTTCCTATAAAATCGTTTCACGGTCTGTTAAAAGTCCCGACATGCTGTCAGAGGGCGTATTCTGGCTATTTCGTATTTTAAATAGATAGTGAATAACTAGATACTATACATGGTAATGTGTCTGGGTTGAAATGTAAATAATTCCTCAAGCATCTAAGGTATCACATACTCACTTTATTCAAATTTCTTCGTGCCTCGGCCCCGATTGATAATTTCCACTTAAAATGTTAACTCGTAATAACTTGAGATGACACTAATTTTTGGTCTCCCTTTCGATGTTTCAGTGGTCTATGGTATCAGATTCCGGTTGCCGTGCTGGAGGTCCAGGACAAGATTTTACAGAAAAGTGTCATGGATGATGTACTGATATATGTTTCTGGAGTTCAATTTTCTAACATAGATCCATATTAATAATGCTACTAAGGTTGAAATGATGAAATATTTGTGACTTTTAACAAGGACACGAGATTTGTGTGGTGCTTTCATATTTTGGTTTTGATTACAATATTGTGTGTTTAGTGTGCGTTAACAATTATTGAAATCCAGCCGGATTTTCATCGACTTCCGATCGTTTCGGATAACTTTCCTGATTTGATTTAGATAAATATATTGACCCAAGGGACCAGAATGTCTCGACTTTGAGATTCCAAAGAATGATAATGTATGCTATGTCTGTGATTTCTTTATCGTATTTATTGATTCTTTATTATTTTTCTATTTGAAAATGATGCAAACAATGCAAAAAGTTTGTAATTATAAAACATAACGATAACAAAATCGTGTTTGAATTGTCATTCCTGTCCTACACCAAATTTCCTCAACGTTCAACCATAACACAATATTCAAATTTTGAAAAGGGTAGTTACAAGCAGCTTTTAAATTTTCATTTTTTTTTTTTTTTTTTTTGAGAAATTAAAAATATTTGAACGGGTTGAGGAAATTTGTTGGATATACCCGAGTTTATGATTATAGAAGTCAAAGCACTCGGAACAGGTAAGCTAGTAAAACCAGTTTCCGAAAAAAACACTCCATTTTGGTTTGAGGAACTTTCCTTGTTCCCTGCCTCGGTGGCCGAGTGGTTAAGGCTTCTGTTTTCATCACTAGCCCTCCATCTTGGAACATTCACTGTCCTGGAACTCTGGCTTTCTTCCACTATATCGTGCACCTCTTTAAATGACTTGCTGTTAACGTAAAGGAACGCTTCGAACCAGCGACTAAAGTGATAGACATAAGCAGATATTGTGCTTCGTGATTGTTGTTAAATAGATTTTATAGTTATATAGCAACACAACGCAAAGCTTTTAAGGGAAGAGATAGGACATCTACACACTGTCCGACATGAATACCACAGGGATCTGACTTTGGGCAACAGGCGACATGCAACACGACAGGTGTTAGAACCAGTGACAGAGTAAATGATAATATATATATATATATTTTTTTTTTATAAAATTACTCATACCTTGTGTCGTATATCAACATATATTGTTAAATACAAAGTAATCTGCCAACTTTTGCTTCACTGAAATGATGAAACAACTTCGCAACAGATGCAGGGGGTGGGGGGGGGAGACCAAGTTTCATACACGCGAATAATAATTACCAGAATACGAAAACGGGGCACTGATTTCACAAGCCGGAGAAATTTGTCAACAGAGCAGTGATTCTAAGGCAGAGAGACATGTATGTTTGATGCGTTTATGTTATTAAAGGTAGAAAAACGTTTTGGTTAAGGGCACATTCCTGGATTTCTAGGGGAAGATTCTATATTTAACAAATCTACTTGGGTGAAACATGCCGTGTATGTAAATGTTACTGCTGGTTGAATATTAAGGCACTGTTGCCGGATAAATGAGACTTTAGTAATATTATCGGTAGTAATTGCTTTATATTGAAATACTGTATACAGGAGTTGTGACAAACACATTACTATGGCTATCACAATTTGTACATAACGTGACAGATGAAGACGTTATTTATGTCAAATTTCGCTAATTTTGCTGGAAATCACGCTGAAGTAAAAGTCACCGGTCGACATCACACGCGTTCCCAGTCGACAAGCGGGAGGGTGTAGGCGTGAGTCACAAGGGCTCTTTGTTCATGTACCGTAAAATTACCCTCCATTGCATTTTACTCCCCTATCTTAACCCAAACACCAGCTTTGTTTAGGAGCGAGATAGCGAATTCCACACACAATGAATCATGTTCCTCCTCAAATTAGCCCGACATAAATAGTGTATTTTTATTTTATGACCGTTTCAGATATATGGGTCTATTGTTAAGGAGATAACTGACTGTCAAACAGGTCGATTATTGTACCACGCTGATGATAACGACGACGGGCACCCAACAGGCGTCGTCTGTGACAAGTCTCCCCGGTCATCTACGCCATGTTGAAACTATATCGCTCTCGAAAAACGTCATCCAACTTCCGAAACATATCCAACGTGGACGACTCCTAAATACGACCGACATTTTCAACCCTCTATCAAAATTGGTTCATCAACAGTTTTCGTGTATTTTTTTCTGTGGCTCTACAACTCAGATACCAATCACATGGTATACGCTGCTTAGACAGGTGTATTAGTGAGTAATGAAAGACACCTTGCCATCGCTGGGGTTCGAACTAGCGACCCTTCGGTCACTAGCCGGACGCTCTACTGCTCGACTAAAGGGAAATTCCTGTTAACCTAGGCTAGCAAGGCGATCTGTACCCCCAACATCTACATGGTAATTGAACTGTGGAGCGTTTCCCGGGGAATATTTGATACCGGTATTTACACATTGAGAGGGTACTTAGACGAAGATTTACATTTAAATTAACTCACCGTCACTGCATTTATTATCACGAATATAAGAAATTGTGTACATGTAAGCTTATACATCAGACACAAGTGAACAGCACCTTTCTAAACAATTGTAGAATACGATACAGTGGAGCGTGATGATGAGCCCTCGTTACTATAGAGAAACCTGGAAGTCTAGTGTTACTGGGGTCACTTCTGGACAAAACACAAACAAGAGTTTTACATGGAGAACCTGAAAAAGTACAATAATGATAAGATTAGGCGTTACGGAAGACTGAACGTCCGTCTGTGTCATCTCATAATTTCTATATCCGGCATGTACACGAAGAAATCAGTGATAATGGGTATAGAATTGTATGTAAAGTCTTTTAAACAAAGTCTGTTAAAACTAGCGTTGTGTACGTAATCTATTGTCGTGGTCCGGAGGGGACATTTCAAAATGGCACGACGAAGCACACTGTGCGACGGTAGTTTCGACATTCTGTTTCCAAACCCTTATAATTTCGAAGAAGATTTCAAAACAGAGACGTTGAACAACATTATCTGTGTGAAAGGCACGGAGGAGCTTAGAAGTTAAAAGTTTGTATGTAATATTAATTTGAAGTTGGCGTTGATTGTAATAGTGAATGCGATGTACATGTATTTCATTTTCTCTGGACATCTAAATCCTAATAATATTATCAATCTAGGAGCGTTGGCAATATAAAAAATGAACATTTGAGCGCATTTTGCGTCGAAATATTATTGGTTTAAAACTGAAAGGGCTTTTTCAACGGAGGGGACATTACAATGGAAATTTGAAATATTGACACATGTATTCATCTTGCCACAAAAATCACATAAATATTGCTTTAAAGTACTTAAATGAATACTACAGATTACAGCATGCACAGGCCTATGATATCTACATATCAACAACAGACATTTTTTGATAACAATGCACTTTTTGTTTTGAATCATGAAACGTCCCCTCCGAAATACGTACACAATAGTCACGTGGAGTCTGGGACTTCATGCAGCCGTACATTTATATACACTTACATATATATATGTATGTCATTCAAAGCTAGGACGCATGTACCCCAACCCTAATAAATATGTATGTTTCAAATGTCATATAAAGGCAGACCAGCTTGAGATATAACTGACCGCTTCGGTAAATCAAGGGGCTTTTTAAAGTAAAATTATTCGCGTTTTTAATTATAATGATTTATCTTTACATGAAGATGTAGGAATCCGACAAAACATGGCTCACTTAAAGGTTAAAGTACCATTTCTGCTAAAAATAATGGAATTGTTCATATATCATATAAAATGTATATGTTTATAATGTTGAAATTAATTTCTACGTTTTCCCAATTTTGCCCCCAGGCATTATGGATTTGCCCATACGCCATCGTACAAACCCTACATTATATTTCGGTGGTGGTCTTCAATCTCGACAGAATCTTAACAAGCAATCTGTTTATTAATGTAAATTCTGTCCATCTGATGATATGGTTTTAGGTTTCAACTGGTACACTATTTATTCTCTTCTCAGAACTCTATCAACCGAATGAATTAATTCGAATTTCACTGCAATTTAATGGCCAATAATTGACACTTTTTCACGCGACATTTCGCGGACGACATAATTTCAATGCTCTCCTCTAAAATTGCTCTAAGCACACAAACTGGTTTTGTCTTTTATAAAATCTACCTTTTGTATGGAAAGTGTCTCGTTTAGAAAACGAGCAGCTTGCGGCCATCACGGCGCTGTGTTTTGGGAGGGATTAAGTGGGCCCTCCCTCCTCCCCATTAGACGTGTAGTGGTGAGATACACAGACGCCTGGCTATATAGACAGTAACATTCACTAAAAACTTACAATTTTCTAGTTTTAATGAACGCATATCAGATTCCCGCCCGGGGATAACTTCACGATTGGGTTTCTACGAGAACAAAGATGTCGTCTGCAAACGATTTGGTGATATTGTGTTTTTGCATACAAAACGTATCTTTAATGCCCGTCTAGGGTATGGGAACTGAACTCTGAGGTCACCGTCGACACCAATCAAGTCATGAAAAGGCGATTTTCACAAACAATAAAAATGCGTTCCGTGTCATTTGTAATCTGATGGGTTTCGTATTTTATATCTAGCTACTAAACATCTTACAATGAAAGTGCGTCAATCGGTATGAAATGCAAAGGCACATTTGTTTTGATTTGCAAATATGACAAAATACTCAGTACCCTCCTCCAAGAGAGGAACACAAATACACCGAAAACAAGCATAAAGCAACATGAATTTCCATGAAATGGCATCCTGCACGCGCTTCGTTCAACAAATTTTGTAGCCGCATGCATTTCGGAAAAGTCGTTATTTATCATATATGGACGAGACGTGCTTAAAATTTAACAACTCGCCTCTAAATGACAGGATATGATATAACACAAAGTTTGTGTAAATATCATATGTCATATTAATTTACAGGATGTGTTCCCTGCATCCTCAAAATGCGTTTCGAACACACAACCTCCTGTCACAAAGGGCACAGATGATTTAAATAAATTTCATGTTTATCGGTAGGTCAATGTGTTCATTTCCTGTTGGCTATTTCATGAAAGCTATGTGTATATGTTGTCAATTTGTATGTAGACGCCTCGTCCTCTCCTCGTTAACTGGGATATACATCTCCACTCAACACATCGGTCAAACTCACCGTACCAACCAAGGCACTCTATGTGTCGCCCCTATCACACAGAATATGTCTGGAAAACAAACGAAGGTCATTTTAATTTGACCAGAATTCGTCTCAGGATAAGACCCAGAGACGGAGGGCTAGTGACGAAGACAGACAGACAGACCTGGTAGTTACTCTGACAAGTTTAACTTAGAAGGAATGTCGCACAAATATAGATAGTTTTAATACCGATGGACAACAGGTGTGTTATTTGATACCAGCAACCAGTATATTTCCA